GGACAGTCCCACCCTCTCACCTTGTCGATGAAGGAGGCAAACTGGTTGTTCAGGGTCTTGATCTGCTCCTTCTCCTGGTTCTTGACGTGCTGGATCTGGGGATCGATCTCGACATGGACTGGCTGGAGGAGGGTTGAGTCAATCTGCACCGGTTGGATCCCAGGACCTCCTCTCCCAGGGCCACCAAAGCCACTCATGCCAAAGCCTGGGCCACCGAAGCCTCCCATTCCTCCACCGCCCATCCCACCACCGTAACCACCCATCCCACCACCAAAGCCACCCATTCCTCCTCCGCCGCCCATTCCGCCACCTCCCATTCCTCCAAAGCCACGCCACACATGCCTCCTCCTCCTCCACCCATCCCGCCCCCGAAGCTGCCGAGACCTCCGTACCCTCCACCAAACCCTCCCATCCTGCCTCCGTAGCCACCGCCGTAGCAGCCGCCCATGGACATCCTGCCGCTGCCCCCCATGTTGTGGAGGCTCCTGCTGGTGAAGCCCCCGCAGCGTCCTCCACCTCCAAAGCCCCTGGACACGGAGTAGGAGCTGTAGCTGCTCCTGCTCCTGCCGCCACCTCCGAAGCCACCACCGATGGCAGAGCAGGAGCTGAAGCCCCTTCTATTCCCTCCTCCGAAGCTCCTGCAGACAGATTGACGAGACATGGCCGGTTGTCCTCCGAAGAGCCAAGAGTGGAGAAGCTGAGGAGCTTGGCAGAGTTGTGTGGTGAGGAGCAGGTGGAAGAAGAAGGGAAGTCAATCCCTCTGGCTGGAGGGCAGTGGATGCTCCCTTTTATCTCCTGTGGAGGTGGGATGGGCCTGCATGGGCGGGAAGGAGGAGACGAGTCCTGTCCTCATCGCCGTGGCGTGGCTCAGATTCTCATCTCCAACTTGCCAAACATTGACCCTCCCCAGAAACACACCCTCAAACACAGGGAAAAAAGGGGTGAAAGACCCAAATGGAGCTCCCAACCCTCCCACACCTGAGGAATCCTCCACCTGGTGGAGCAGCCAGAACCTCCCTAGGACACACTGAGAGGTTTAATCCACCTTTTCTCCATGGTGGTTGTTTCCCTGCTGCTGTTTATCTCCCCTTGGATCTCTCCCTCCAAAGCCCCATGGCAGGTGGGTCTGTGCCAAGTTGTAGCCAGGGCTTTCACAACTCCCCAAACACACCTTTGTTCCACCCTCAGCCTCCTTTTCTCTTGGAAAATTGCCTTTGGCTCCGGGAATTGAGTTTCTCAACCCTCGGCCATGGGCTCAGCAAATTGCATTTTGATGAGGCTTCGCGGCTCGGCGATAAATAAAACCTCCCAGTGACGCCATGGTCGGAGCTGGAGATGGGAACCCGTGGCAACCCCAAAAACACCTCCTGGTGTCTTTGTGCCAAGACCTTCTCAGCACCAGGGAGGAACCAGCCAAGCTGGGAGAGCCCCTTGGGATCTCTGGAGGCTTCAGGACCATGAGGAGACCCCAGGGAGCAGCAGCTGTGGTGGTGGTGGGATGGGAGGAGAGCCAGGGATGGAGATCCCAGTGCTGCTCCCCACACCACAGAGCCTGGAATGATGTCAGTGCAATTAGCAGAGCTCAGCTGGTTTGCCGAGCCATGGAAACGAGGGAGAGGAGGGAGAAGGGGGTGAATTCCCTAGGGGAATCACCTTTTTTTTTTTTTTTAAACAGCTGTTTGGCTGATTTTGGTGTTTAGATGCAAATAAACCTTTGGCAGATGGAGATTAGAGACAGGGAGGAGCTTGGAATCCTCCAGTTCCAAGCCCAGGCTGGGGATGGAGGCAGATTATGGAATCCTGGGATGGTTTGGGTTGAAAGGACCTGAAAGCTGATCCAGTTCCACCTCCCGCCAGGGCAGGGACACTTTCCACCAGGCCCAGGTGGCTCCAAACCTCATCCAGCCTGGCCTGGACCACTCCCAGGGATGAGGAATCCACCACCCGCATGGAATCATGGAATGGATCAGGTTTGAAGACACTTTTCTGAGTCATTTGATCCATAAATCCCTCACTGATCCATCCCTTCGCCTCGCTCAGGTACCAGCTAATCCCATTCCACACCTTTCCTCCCCAATTTCCCTGTCTTTTATCACCTTCTTTTTTATGTTATTTCCATTTTAAAGCCACCTAAGACATCTTGAAATCCAAACCCACTCCCATGGAGGCTCTTAAGTGTGCTGGCAGCCCTTGGCACTCGCCCCGGGACACGCATGGAATTAGGTCCCGCTGGAAAATCCACACCAACAACTTCTGCTCTCGTCACATGGTCCAATCCCTCTCAAAATATTGCCCGGGCACTCCTTCCACAAGTGCCTTGGGCCCTGGATCTGTGGCTCAGCTGGCATCAAAACTGGAAAACACAGAATTCCTGGTGCTTATCCCACCTCCTGTGGGTCCAGGAGGACTCGGGGAGGTGGACTGGGAGGGAGATAGGGCTAAAAAAGTCATGGAATCATGGAATGGTGAAACTATTGATCCCCACAGCACCGGTGTGGATCCATGAGGGCTCAGAGAAGGGGGTTGAGGAGTAGATAGGGATAAAAATCATGGAATTATTGATCCCCACAGCACCTCCTGTGGATCCATGGGGACTCGGGGGGAGGGATTGGGGATAAGATAGGGATAAAAATCATGGAATCATGGAATTATTCATCCCCACAAGTGCTGTGTGGACCCATGAGGGCCCAGAGAAGGGGACTGAGGAATAGATAGGGATAAAAACCCAATGGGATTATCATGGAACTACTGAGGCTGGAAAAGACCTCCAAGGGCATCAAATCCAACCTTCAACCAGCAGCAACAGGCCATAAATTGGCCATAGATCAATAAATTAGCAGCAGCCCAACGCCCAGGCCAATCAGCCTGGGGGCTCAGGTGTTGCCCCTAATGACCTGGCCCAGCTCTGCCTCCCTCAGCATTCCCAAATCCGTGGCCAGCTCGGCCTGGGGATGCTGCTCGGGGTTTCTCTCGGTGTCTGTGGGCGGATGAGACGTTCCCAGGAGGAGAGAGAGGCCTGGAGTCAGCACAGCCTGGAGCTCTGGGTGAGATAAGCGGAGCTGTGAGTCACCGTGGCGGCTCCAGCCAAGCTTGGGAAATCCACCGGCATCTGGGAATCTGCATCTCCTCCTGCTGCAGACTGGGTGGGCAGGGATGGGATGGATTGGGTGAGAAGGGAGAGGGAACATCATCCCATCCCACACCTGACCTGGGTAGGGACATCTCCCCTCAGCCCTGGTGGCTCCAAACCTCATCCAGCCTGGCCTGGATCACTCCCAGGGACGGAGAATCCTCTGGGAGATCCATCCCAGCCCCTCACAGGGAGGAATTCCTGCCCCATATCTCATCTCTCCCTGCCCTCTGGCCGTGGAAAGCCATTCCCTGTGTCCTGCCCCTCCAGGCCTTATCCAAAATCCCTTTTCCCACTCCCTTGGAGCCTCCAGGGAAGGAAAATGACCTGGAAAGGTCAATTCCAACTCAAACTGTTCCATGATCCCGTGGCAAGAAACACACAGAGCACAGGAAAAGCTGCTCAAGCCTGGAATAATTGTGAGGAAACCACAGAATCATGGAGAGATTTGGGTGGGAAGGGATGGAAAACTCATCCAGTGCCACCTGTGCCATGGGCAGGGCCAAGCCCTGGTCTCCAGCAAAAGGCTGCAATGACTCCCGGGTGGGTCCAATTAGGGGAGAAGTTTCCCCTAATTGCTGGGACGAGCCCTGGGACAAAAGGGGAGGGATTTGGGAGTTTGTTTTGGCAACAGCCTCTGTGCTCCTGGAGAAACCTTTTGTCACCTCCTGCTGCTGCTCCCCAGGGGTCACCTGGGGCAAAATGGGATTGGGGTGACTCCAAGGTTGGATTGGCCTGAATCGGAGTGTGGATTGGGCTAAATCGAGTGTGGATTGGGAGTGTGGATTGGGCTGAATTGGAGTATGGATTGGGCTGATTCCAAGTGTGGATTGAGTTGAATCTGAGTGTGGATTGGTCTGAATTAGAGTGTGGATTGGGCTGAACTGGACTGTGGATTGATCTGATTCAGAGTGTGGATTGGGCTGAATTGGAGTATGGATTGGGCTGATTCCAAGTGTGGATTGAGTTGAATCTGAGTGTGGATTGGTCTGAATTAGAGTGTGGATTGGGCTGAATTGGACTGTGGATTGATCTGATTCAGAGTGTGGATTGGACTGAATTGGAGCATAGATAGGGCTGACTCCAAACATGGATTGGGCTGAATTAGGGTGTGGATTGGGTTGAATTAGAGTATGGATTGGGTTGAATTAGGGTATGGATTGGTCTGAATTAGAGTATGGATTGGGCCGACTCCAAGTGTGGATTGGTCTGAATTAGAGTATGGATTGGGCTGACTCCAAGTGTGGATTGGCCTGAATTGGAGTATGGATTGGGCTTGACTCCAAGTGTGGATTGGACTGAATTAGAGCCTGGATTGGGCTGACTCCAAGCATGGATTGGATTGAATTAGAGCCTGGATTGGGCTGACTCCAAGCATGGATTGGGCTGAATTAGAGCCTGAATTGGGTTGACTCCAAGCATGGATTGGACTGAATTAGAGCCTGGACTGGTCTGAATTAGAGCCTGGATTGGTCTGACTGGGAGTGTGGATGGTGTCGGTGCCTGTGCTCGGATCAGCAGTGCAGGAGCCGCGGGAACACTCAGCCATGTCCCCACCCGGGACATGCCCGAGCTGGAGCGCTGGGACATTCCTCGCTGGCACCTCACCCACTGGGAGCGATGGGATGACTCACCGGGATCGGCGTCTGCGGTTGACCAGGGATGGGATTCCAGCTCTCCTCGGCGGGAGGTCAAACCGCAGCAGGAGTTTTGGGCTTGGAAGTCGTCAAATCATTGCTCTTTTGGGCAGAGGTGGAGCTGGATGGGGCGGGAGAAGGTTTTCCTCTTCCCGTGGCCTCAGTTCCCTCTTGGAGATGCCTGGAGAGCAATCCAGGGGTGAGGCCAGACGGCTGGGAAGGCCTCAGGCATGGCTCCAGTCCCGTGGAGACTGAGGAATTCACCCCGAGTTAGCTGGGGGGGTGATGACCACCCTTCCCTCCCCCACCCCAACCCACTGGGATGCTCCTAAAGCACTTGGGGTGAGCACCAGGGTGGGCACCACAGCCCTGGGACCACCTGTGGCCAGTGGTGTGGTCAGAGCTGGTGGTCAGGCAGAGGAAGGGGAAGGGAAGAGTCTCCCAAGCTCCATGGAGTCTGCTCAGATCTGATGGGGACAACAGGGGACAACAGTCTCTGTCACCCCTGGAGACCCCACAGGAGCACGAGGAAGAGGATCCAAATGTTGCCTCTTCCTCCCTGCCAGGATTGAGCCCATTTTGCCACCATCACCCCCCAACAACCTCCCCCTGAGACCTTTCTCACCCTCCTGCCAAACCCCCCCAGATTTTGGGGGAGAGGAGTTTGGGTTGGGCTCCTTTAGCTACAGACTTCAAAGGACAGGAGAAAGTCAGGAAACACTTTCAGGTCTCGGCAGGAAACTTGTTGCAACACGAAACTCTGTGGTCGGGGAGAAAAGCCACACCAGGTTCCTGCCTCGCTTGTTTATTGGGGTGGCACATGCCAAGGGAGAAAGGGCTGAGCAAACACACACGACTGGTCCCCAGTCCCAGGGGAAAGGTGAACACAGAGGCAAAATGACATTTTCCCACAACCTGAGCAGAACTCGGGAGGGAGGGAGGGGAAAAAAGGTAAAGGAGGGTGAGAAATGTCTTTGGTTGGGCTAAGGCCCCAGGAGGAAGTTCCTGGTTCGGAGGTGAGGAGCAGAATGGGTTGGGATTGAGTCCTGGCTGGATCCAGCAGGTCTGGAGGGAAGTTGAGTGTTCCCAGTGCTTGGAGCTGTGCATGGATCTGTCCCTTCTTGGCTCGGTGGTTGTTGGGTGTCTCTTCCTCGGGGTGCTCTGCTCTGTGAGGTCATCCCAGCTGGATTTGGGCTCCCCATGGACAGGGAGGTCATCCCAGCTGGATTTGGGCTCCCCATGGACAGGGAGGTCATCCCAGATGGATTTGGGCTCCTCATGGACAGGGAGGTCATCCCAGATGGATTTGGGTTTCCCCATGGACAGGGAGGTCATCCCAGCTGGATTTGGGTCTCCCTGTGAACGGACAGGTCATCCCAGCTGGATTTGGTGCTCCCTGTGAACAGTCAGGTCCTGTTTCCCAAGGAGAGCAGCACGAGGGATTGAGCCGTTCCGGAATGTTGTTGGGAATCTCAGTCCTTAGCAGGTGGATTTGGCCTTGGTTTGCTGCTCCTCATGGTTCCAGTGGTGGTTCAAGGTGACATCCTTGGCCGCCACCACCTCCGTGAGGGCCTCGGGGAGGTCATCGCGGCGTTTGCTTCCTTTCTCCGTTGGGTGCTGGGGATGGGGTGGGATCGGTCCCGTTCCTACACCCTCCGGTTGTTGTTCTTCAGGATGGGGCCAGATCCCACCACCACCGAGCTAGACCCTCCACCCATGGAGCAAAACCCTCCTGCCCCGGGGCCAAACCCACCACCAGCACCAAAGCCACTCCCTCCCAGGCTGAAGCACAAACCAGCACCACCAGCACTGCAGCTTCCTTTGCCACTTCCAAATCCAAGTCCTCCTCCTCCAAGGCACATTCCACCTCCGTATCCACCTCCCACGGTGGTGCTGCCTCCCACCACGGCTGTGGAGAGGAACAGAAGGCACCAGGTTACCTCAGATGCCATCAGGGAGCTCAGGAGCATCGTCCCCAACCCCGTGGGAAGGATACTCACAGATGCTGACGGCGCTCTGGCACTCCCCAGACATCCTGCGAGGGAAAGACACGGAATGTGGGATCTGGCAGAGCATCTGGAGTGCTCCAGCTCCAGGAAGACACGTTTGGTGTGTGGCCACAGGAGGGTGACCCACAGCTCGTGGCCACACCACACTTGGTGGAGATGATGGGACGTGTTCTTCCCATTGATTCCCCAGGAGCCAACAGAATTCTTGCTGTCTCCCACCCACCTGCACTCCTCTCCCTCCAGGAGTTTCCTGTAGGTGGCAATCTCGACATCCAGGGCCAGTTTGACGTTCATCAGCTCCTGGTAGTCGCGGAGCTGCTTGGCCAGGTCAGTCTTGGCCTTCTGCAGAGCTGTCTCCAGCTCGGTCAGCTTGTCCCTGGCGTCCTTGAGAGCTGCCTCCCCGCGCTGCTCCGCGTCCGCGATGGAGGTCTGCAGGGACTCGCACTGCAGGGCAAGGACACCGGCGTGAGTGGGCTGGGACACGAGGCACTGGCCCCAGGGCATGGAGTCACGGGCTGGGTTGGGTTGGAAGGGCATCAGAAGGTCATCTGGAGCATGGGTAGGGTCACCTGCCACCAGCCCAGGTGGCTCCAAGCCTCATCCAGCCTGGTCTGGAACATTCCAGGGATGGAGAATCCTCTGGGAGATCCATCCCAGTGTCTCAGCCACCTCACAGGGAGGAAATCCTTCCCAATATCCCATCTGACCTTGTCCCTTCCATTCCTTGTGTCCTGTCCCACCATCCCTTGTCCCAATCCATCTCCAGCTCTCCTGGAGCTCCTTTAGGCACTGGAAGATCTCCTTGGAGCTTCTCCAGGCTGGACACCCACACTCATCCCATCCCATCCCATCCCATTCCATGGGCAGGGACACCTCCCACCAGCCCAGGTGGCTCCCAAGAATGGAACATCCATAACTTCTCTGGGCCAAGTGCCACTTGGGCTCAACTGGTCCCAGCCACGTGGATTCCCTTCCAGGGAAGCTCCAAAGGCCACAAGCAGGATGTCACCCCCATCGTCCCAAAGCCACCACCCCTACCTGCTTCTTCACGCTCTCGATCTCTGCTCGGATCCTCTGGATCACGCGGTTGAGCTCGGAGATCTCGGTCTTGCTGTCCCTCAGGCTGTCCCCGTGCTTGCCCACGGTGGCCTGCAGCTCTTCGTACTGGTGGGAAGCAGCAAGAGGAGCACGTCAGGTCCACCATGACCTCACATCACCTCTCACGCCATGTCCTGCCAGCCAAGGGCATAGAGTCATAGGCTCATCAAGGTTGGAAGAGACTTCCAAGATCATCAAGTAGCTCCAGTCTGGATAGACCAGGACCAGCTGTGTCCCAGATCTTGGAGTGCTGTGAGCTCCCACCAGTGACTCTCCCACCTCCCCATGGTCACCAGCAGCGTCACAAACCTTGCTGTGGTACCAGGCCTCGGCCTCGGCGCGGCTGCGGTTGGTGATTTCCTCGTACTGCGCCTTGACCTCTTGGATGATGCTGTCCAGGTCCAGGCTCCGGTTGTTGTCCATGGAGAGAACCACTGAGGTGTCAGACACTGTCTTCTGCATCTGGCACAGCTCCTGGAATTCCCACCAGCCCCGGATTTAGTCCTGCCAGAAGTCCCTGGTGGTTCCAGACCCTCCTCCATCCCAGAGTCCCATCCCTGCAGCACTCACAGCTTCGTAGAGGCACTTGAAGAAGTTGATCTCATCTGACAGGGAATCCAGTTTTCCCTGGAGTTCCACCTTGGTCATGTAGACTCCATCCACATCCTGCAGCAGAGGAGGGATGAGAAAATCCTGCCTGGCTTGGCTAACATCGCACGGAGTCATGGGATGGGTTGGGTTGGAAGGACCTCAAATCCTATCCCACCTCATCCATGGGCAGGGACATCTTCCAGGTGGCTCCAAGCCCCATCCAACCTGACCTGAGACACTCCCAGGGATGGAGAATCCTCTGGGAGATCCATCCCAGCCCCTCAGCCCCCCCCAGGGAGGAATTCCTGCCCAATATCCCATCCAAATCTCCCCTTTTCCAGCAGGAAGTCAATCCCTGTGTCTTGTCCCTCCATCCCAAATCCCTCTCCAGTTCTCCTGGAGGTGAAGAACATGGATTTGACCTTCTTGAGGAGCACGAAGTCGTTCTCGGCCGCTGTCCTTTTGTTGATTTCCTCCTCGTACCTGCGGAAGGGAAGGAAGGAGAAGGAGTTTGGGGAGGATTTTTGGCTCCAGGGAATGTTGTTGACCTCAGACTAACAAATGCACCAGAACTGGATCTGCCCCAAGGGAGATTTATGGCCCAGGAGTTGCCTTTGCCTTGTCAGGGATGAGGAAAGCCTGGAACTAATTAGGTCATTAAATCCCAAGGCCAAAGGTGATTAACTGAGGAAGAGAAAGTGGAGGAAAAGCCTTGGGAGAGAAACAAGTGGAACGAGAGGGTGAGAAAATCTGGGAAGATTGGAGGGAAAGCTAAGAAATGTGGAGGAAAGAGGTGAGAATTATTGAGGGGAAAATGGGAAATGTTGCGGGAAAAATGGGAAATGTTGAGGGGAAATGGGAAATGTTAGGGGAAATGGGAAATGTTGAGAGGAAAATGGGAAATGTTGAGGGGAAAATATTGAGGAAAACTGAGAGGAAAATCTGAAGAACATTGAGAAAACAGAACCAAACCTTGAGAACCACCTGGAAAAAAACATCTCCACTTCTCACCCACCTCAACCTCCCAAACCTTCTCTACTCCCCGGTCCCAGATTTCCAGTTCTGGGACCATTCCCAGTGCCTGTTCCCACCCTGAACCACTTACTTGCGCTTGAACTCCTCCACCAGGTCCTGGAAGCTCTTGAGCTCTGTGTCCAGCTGCTGCTTCTCCCCAGAGAGCAGATCCAGCTGTTTCCGGAGGCTGCTGATGTAGTTCTCCAGGATGGGCTCCAGGCTCCTGCCCCCGGGGCCTGTCCCCCCCTGCTCCTGCAGCAGCTTCCACTTGGTCTCCAGCACTCGATTCTGCTGCTCCAGGAACCGAACCTGCAGGACAGAGCCCAAAAAACACCTTCAGGGTCACTTCCCCCCCGAAACATCCCAATTTTCATGGATTTCTCCCCTAAAAAGCACCTTTTATATTGATATTTTCTCCCATTTTCCCAACTTCTCCTTGGCTTTGCCACCATTTTTCCATCCTCTCATTCTTTGGGGTTTTTACCCCTATTTTCCCGCCTTTATATTTGGGGTTTCCCCTCATCTTTTCTCTGATTTCC